TGCTGTGTTTTCAGCTTTTTGTACTATCTTCAGATGGCTTTGGTGTCAACATTGGCAGAAAGAGAAATATAAGTTGTAAGGATATATCTACCAACTTTAACCACCGACATAAGTTGGGTGCTCTTATACTGAGCTATCTGAAAGAAACAAATCAGTTGTCTGTTTCTTTCTGAGACAAAATTTCAAAGTGCGGACGGATGAACTTTTATTGTGGGTGTAACACAGTTTAACAATAACTCAGTTGAGGAGAAAATGAAAACCATGCTTTTTATCTTTATAGGCGGTGACAGGGAGACCTCAAGTAGCTCGGATGATGAGGTGAGTGATGCAACATGAAATAATGCATGAAAGATGAAATACAATATTTCAGTTACTTTGCAAATATTTATCTTACTAATACATGAAAAGCAACATTAATATAACGACTGTGACTCTTGATGGTCAATTATTCATGTACATTATTGTCCTATTCAGGTCCTGTCTTACAAATCATTTTGCCACAGTTATTTGAGTGGTGTTAATAACTGCGCACAGAGGTATTAAGAGAGAGAACTAAAAGGAATCTATGGTTCCAATGAGGGTTTCATTTTCGTAGTTTTGGGGAGAACACGGTAGGCTTTGATAGCTCTGCACTCATCCAAGCAGTGGCTGAGATTTAAGTAGGGGGCAGCATCACTGTAAAGAAGTAAGTAACACGATGAGTCAGAATATCAGCCAGGTAGTAAACAAGCACATTTATCCTGCTCATCATCCAAACCACTTTAAGTTGAGGTAAAATTGAAAGTGAGCTCTGTAAGTATACCTGATTGCACAGAAAAGCTGCAATGAGGGATAATTACTACAGCGACAAGAACAGGACTGCTTACTAATCATTTTACACTTTGCTTTCTTTGTCCAATCCTTGGAACCTTGGAGGCATGCTGCCCCAAAATATGACCTGTTGAAGGATAGAACTTAGCTGCAGTAATAAAGCCACGGCTAGCTGCTATATAGGATACACAGGATACAGTCTGTTTATAGGTCTTATATACAGCTCTTTTTAATACAGGTAAAAGTTAATATTAAAAATGGGGCTGAATGTGTCACAAAGTTTAAATTCTGTCTGTCGCCAATTTATCTTTGATCAGAATACTTATTCATGATCAGCTCTTTATATGTGCTTATCATATTAACTTGGCAGTTATATTAATTGTTTGTGTTACACCTGCTCATTCAGTCATTTCTTATTATTGCTGTTTTTCACCTTTTTCGGCAGTTTGAGGAGTTGCCTGTTCGCCCACAGAGATCCTCCAGCATCATGCAAGAGGAAACAGATTACGTCAGGGTTAAACCTGGAGAAGCAGTTTGCTCTCAGAATGTCCATGCTTTACGACGGGACAGTGAACAATTTGGCCAAGGCGGGCTTCCACTGCGTAACTATGACTATGCGTCAGGTTTGGGTAGAAAAGGTGAGGTTGGATACCCGAGTAAGACAAACACAGACAACGTAGTGAAAAAACAGTGGGAAGACACTGCTCAGAGTAGCTCAGGATTCAGTAACAACGAAGAGGATGGTGATGAAGAAGAAGTAACCTACACTCATGTGATCATCAAACCCAAACACCAAAATGAGTAGCTACATCAAGAAATGAACTGTGGGGTGTTGTCAGTGCAAAGGAAGATGATGTGTTGAGAAAGTGAATTATTCTTTGATTAAGATTTTGATCTCTTTAAACTGGCAGAGCAGGCCTGGCTCTTTTGATGTTGACCTTCAAATCTCCCAGGGATCCTCCACTGTCATGTGTTGTGCACTCAGGTCTTGTTCCCACCAAACATCTTTGCAGCATTTGAATGTTAAACAGAGCTTCAGTCACTGACATGCATCAGTATTGCATTTAATACGACACATACAGCAATACAAACTGGCTCTAAACTCTGCTCGCTCCACCTACTACTCTGGCATCATCCACTCTGGTTCCACCAACCCCAAGGTCCTCTTCTCCACAATAAACAAACTCCTCAAACCTATGGACAATCTCTCCCACTCCTCCACAGCAAAGAAATGCAACTCCTTCCTGATGTTCTACAAAGCTAAAATTGACACCATCTACAACCAACTGGCCACTTCAAGCCCCGCTTCGTCCAACCCTGTATCTGCAAATCCTCCACTAACTGACCGGTCACTCTCCCGATTCTCTCTCATCTCCCCCTCGGATCTCAATAAATCACTCTCTGGCATGAAGACTCTGACCTGTGACCTCGACCCTATCCCTTCCACTTTAGTTATGGCCTGTCTCCTGGCCCTCAGCCCGCAACTCCTGTCTGTTATCAACTCCTCCCTGTCTACTGGCTCCGTCCCTCCCGCCCTCAAACTCGCCTCAGTCACACCCATCCTCAAAAAACCTGGCCTTGACCCTGACGTTCACAACAATTACAGACCCATCTCCAATCTCCCTTTTCTGTCTAAAATACTGTAACGCACTGTTGCCCATCAACTGAAAACCCACCTGGACTCAAACCAACTGTATGAACCATTTCAATCCGGATTCAGATCTCATCACAGCACAGAAACTGCCCTCATCAAAGTCACCAATGACCTCCTCCTCTCCTCTGATGAACACTCCCTCAACATCCTGATACTACTTGACCTCAGCGCAGCCTTCGACACCATCAACCGCTCCATCCTCCTTTCCCGTCTCGAGTCCTCCCTCCACATCACTGGCACAGCCCTCTCCTGGTTCAAATCATACCTCTCCGACCGTGAACAGTTCATCAGCATCAACAAATTCAAGTCTGACACAGCCCCAGTCTCTCAAGGTGTCCCCCAAGGTTCAGTACTCGGTCCCCTCCTCTTCATCCTCTACCTGCTCCCCCTTGGCGACATCATACGCCACCATGGTCTCCACTTCCACTGCTATGCTTATGACACCCAGCTCTACATCTCCACCAAATCCATCACCCCCACCATCTACTCCACCATCACCAACTGCCTCACAGATATAAAAACCTGGATGCAAGCCAACTTCCTCAAACTCAACACCGACAAATCTGAAGTCCTCATCATTGGCCCCAAATCATTAAACAATTCCCACCACAACTTCTCCTTCTGCATCAATGGCAACACTGTTCCTGTCTCCACACATGTCCGTAACCTTGGGATCATTTTCGATCAAACTCTCTCCTATGAACGACACGTCAATCACATCACAAAAACCGCCTTCTTTCATCTCAAAAACATCGCCGTCTCCGTCCCTCCCTCTCCTCCGCAGCCGCTGAAACACTCATCCACGCCTTCATCACCTGTCAGCTGGACTACTGCAACAGCATCCTGTACGGCTCACCCACCAAAATCATCAACAAACTACAATACATCCAGAACTCTGCTGCCCGTCTGCTCTCCCACTCCCGCACCACAGACAACATCACCCCAGTCCTTCAAAACCTCCACTGGCTCCCCATACAGCAAAGAATTCAGTTCAAGATTCTTCTCATCACTTACAAAGCCCTCCACAGCCCCTTCATACCTTTCAGACCTCCTGCACCGTCACACTCACAACCGCAACCTCAGATCTGCCGACGCCAACCTCCTTACCCCCCCTACTCTGTCCAAGCATCGGACCTGGGGGGACAGGGCCTTCTCTGTTGCTGCCCCTCTCTCTGGAACTCCCTGCCCCAACACCTCAGACATTCTCCGTCAATCGCCACTTTCAAAACTGCACTTAAAACTCACCTATTCAAATCTGCTTTTAACCTCTAAAGTCAGTCATCTATGTTTTCTTTCTTTCTTTTTGTGTTTATTTTTCTTTCTTACTGTTATGATGTCATAGATTTTGTTCTTATTATAAATGCTTTTATTGTTTCTGTTTTTATCATGTAAAGTGTCTTTGAGTGCCTTTTAAAGCACTATATAAATAAAATGTATTATTATTGTTATTATTAGACAGCTAAGCCATTTTACTAGCTAACAATAGCAGCAGGAAGCTAATTTTTTCATTTATGCAACATATGCAACATCAGCTTGCTTGAAAAACTCGAACTTTGCAAGAAAAATCTCAACACAGAATTGAAAGTAATGGATTGTGGAGGAAGTCTTGATCTTGTAGTTTCCCATAATTGCCACTCGATCTTACTAAAGGGCCATAATTTACTAAAGCTGTAAGAGCGTCTTACAGCTCTTTGTTTGAGAGGGCTTTATATCTGAAGAGGAACACCTTTTCTTTTATTCATCATACATTTTTTTTCAATCCTTTTTAATTCAATCATTTTTATTGTCTATTTGGTATACATACATTGCGCACAGATTTTAATGCTGTACCAGTGTAGAGCACTTTTAAAAAATGTGTTCCACAAATAAAGGTACCATGGGTTGTCACTTCACAAACCTTATGTGTATTTTCTTCAACTCAATAACTAAAAATCTGAAATCATATTATTTAGTCCCCCAAACCGTCAGTCCCATGTCGGTGCCCTAGGCCCGTCTGTTAACATAAAGTCTACTGCCAGAAAGAAGTAGTATTTGATTCAAATTTTAGTTTCAAACCACAAATCACAAAAGTTTTCAAGACTTGACTACTGTAACTCCCTTCGCTCTGGCATCATCCAGAAGTCACTCTCTCACCTCCAACTACTTCAGAATGCAGCAGCTACACTTCTCACTGGTTTAAACAGACGACATTACATCACCCCAATCCTGGCTTCTCTCCATTGACTCCCTGTTGGTTTTAGAATTGATTTTAAGATTTTACTGATCACTTTTAAAGCACGTATGGGTCTGGCCCTAAAATATATAGCAGAGCCAGCTTGTAGCCTTAGATCCTCAGGTGGGGCCCGCCGGCCTTCCAACTGTTTCAAAGTCAAGGCTCAAACTAAAGGTGACCTTGCTTTTGCCATCAGAGCCCCTCGACTTTGGAACGACCTGCCTTTGTACGGCTTTGAACAATACGGCTTTGTACAATTAAATTATATTCTTTATTTTTTGCTATGTGGAATGATATACTGTACAAAAGACAATATAAGAACATTTATTTTTCAAAAAAATATTAACATCGTTAAGCAAAACAGTAAATTATTGTAAAATAAGATGGATAAACGCCCCTTTTTTAAAATAAATGTAGCTTTTAAGCAGCATATCGTTTGACTGTTAATTAATAACTGTAACCGTATATGGTACAAAACACAATACATTGTTAAAAAATTATTTTTTCTCACTAGTCATCTGCAAAATAAATGACAAGAGTTCAATTATTTAGTTGCTCATCAGTTGTCCTCTGACCACCCAGTATCAGATTAACAGCCAGTTAAAGGGCATCCAGCATTCTCTCCCTGCTGCAACATGTTCTTCTGCTCAGACCATGGAGGAGCTGCTGGGGAAAAACTAACAGGAAAAAAAATGAAAAGCAACAATCTGTCAAATCACTGTAGTGACATCCCTGAGGTATATCAAATATGAAAGGAAAAGCCTATCAATTCTTAATCTCAGTCAAGAACAAAACATACTGCAGTGAGGAAAGGGATGTTCACAGATGACAGCATAAAGGCCAAGGCCATGGGGAAGAAGGACCTGCAGAGGGAAACAATAGTGTGATGGGAAAACCTCTCGTTCTAACATAGCCTCCTTTTTGACATTTCTGGCATTTCATTTTTTATTTTTTGAAATGTAACACATCATCAATTGTGATCTAATGTGATCTAATGTGACTAAGCCTAAACTGGGACATAAAATGCCAACATGATCACCTGTCTACAGTATGAGACAAAATAACAAAAGCCTTGTTAGACTTACCTGAATGACAGCACAAAACCATAACTCTCCACCAGCATTCCAATGATTGGCCAACGACACAGCACCAGAGATACGCCTCCCAGGAAGAAGAAAGAACCCCGAAACTTATGTCTTTGGAAGAAGAAGTGGGCTGTCCTCCTGAGTCCAATGATGAACATCAAACCAGTCAGCAATAGAATCTACAAGGGGCCATCAAACCATAAAATCTGAGGATATATCAAACACATACTCAAACTATGTGTAGTTATTTCATTTTGCTATTTGTCTTCCTATATTTGAACTAATTCTTCCTACCTAATCAAAAGGCCTTGAATGCAACATTTTACCAAACTGTCATTGTATTTTGTTTGTTGTCCGGCAGGTGTTGCTGATGTATTCATGATTATCCTGTGAACATTGTTTCTGAACTATAAGAATATGTCACTGAGATAAAATACCTTCTGCCTCTGAGGAACTCCCCTTCTTCTATCAACTCTTCAACTATTGGTCACCCTTATCATTTGTTCTGTCCCAGCTTGGTCTCTGTTCTAACGTGTCATTCTGTCCTAACATGTCATATATTGCTGCTTAGGCAGCAGTCTTAGTGTCACTGTTCTAATGCATAAGGTATTATACTGTATGGCTTTCGTACTTGAACAAATAAGGTCACCTATAGATTTTGATAGCAAAGTCTCACTCCCAGGTTGTGTGATTTTTTGTCAGTGCCCCTCGGTGTCTTGACACCGATGCACAGGATACCTTTTAGCGTCTGTATGAGACGTATCAGGCTTTAAACTAACTCCAATGTAAACTCATCTGGATTATTATTAGATGCTCAGGTCAACAGACAGTATAGAAAGCGTGACAGGACTTGAAAAGGACTTTCCTTGAGGAGAACAGCATTCAAGTCTCGTGTGAAACCATATGTTGAGTTATTTTCACTAAAAACGTTATGTCATGGGATGCTTCATAAATTGAGTCATATGATTTTGTGTTTCATATTAAATACACTGTTACTTTGGAATATACCCACTTCATTTGACAAATGCACATTTGACCAATGTTGGGCCCATTCATATGTTTTCTGACAAACAGCATCCGATTTACATGACTTTTACACAATGTGGTTTACACTTGATATAGAGCGACATGCATGTTTGCGCGTGTTCTGTAGCGCCACACAGCGGATACAGGAAGTGGAGGACTATTTGCCAAGCATAATTTCCAGTGTCAGGCGGTCCATGTGGAAAAAACATGTCGGACTTGCGGTCACGTTGTCCGGCTGCGCAGGACGGAGTCCCGCCGCACCCCCGACGTGCGGGAGGATGCGAGGGCCTGTTCATCGCTGCTCGCAGCTTTAATTAGGGTCCGAGCAACCGACAACGTCGAGCCAGCGAAGGCCCAATTGAAATTCTAAGGGTTTTTATTATTAGGGCCCGAGCAACAGACAACCTTGGGCTGTGAAGGCCCTATTGAAATTCTAATACACATACATCGGGCGCATATTTGGGAGACTTGCCATACTCGAAAACTCACAAAATGTTGCAGACTTGTCAGGCCTGGTGAATATAGCCATCTGATATAGGTTGCATATTTTGTGTAAAAAATGGCTCTCTAGCGCCCCCTAGAAGTTGGACCAGCGACGCCCTTCGGCCAATATGTCCGATTTACTTGAAATTCAACACACATGTCCAGCTCCGCTAGCTCTACAAAAAAGCCTCTCAGACCCTAAAGTCCGCCTCTTTAGAATTTCTGCCATTTTGAATTTTGTGAAAAACACTTTTTTTCAAACTCCTCCTACACACTGTGTCCGATTGCTATCAAATTTGCTCTGGATCATTATTGGATCTACATTATCAAAAGTTATTAAAATATTTTTGATATCTCTTTGCGTTGACAAGATATAGACCAATAAACGTCTTAGGGGCATGGCTTATATATCAATACACAACTTCTCAACCATTTGTCCTAAAATCACCAAATTTCCAGCATATGTGCACATTGCATCCTGTAACATACCCTGAGATTTTCATTTCATTCAACCACTACGGGGCGGTACAGTAAACCCACCATATTATTGCCTTTTTGTCACTTTTCGCAGTTTTCAGCCTTTGTACTTTAACAAACTCCTCCTACAGAATTACTGGGATCAACCTCAAATTTGGTCAGGATGCTCTTCAGACCTTTTGTGATGAAAAGTTATCAAATTCATGAGTTTTCATGGAAGAACCGTGACGTGGCAGCCATTTCGCCTTATTCGGCATGAACAATAAAGTTGTTATAACTCCAAGGTACATTATTCAATCTGCAAAAAATTACATATGCATGATGCTACTTCAAGTATGGGCATATAAATAAATGCCAAACTTTTCAATGACTCATAGCGCCACCTACTGGCAAAAGGAAATGTCACACAAATTTTGTAAGGAAAGCCTTATGACATTGAAGATGCTTCATTATGAATATTGTGATTTTTTGTTGAACACTGTTGCCATGGCAACTCATCATTCGCCATGAAAAAGAAAGCTTAATTTTCTGTGGCTTGGGATGCTCAAAAAGTCATGGAACTTTGTAGATTTGTCATAGGTGATGGGAAAACATATTTTATATGGGATTTTGGCTTGGCCATTTTTAATTGCCTCCATAGTGCCCCCTATAATATTTCAAAAGAGCAGCCCCAGCGCTACGTTTGAGGTAGATGTATGAAACTTGGTAAGCATATGTATCCCAGAGAGACTTTAAAAAAGTATCTGGTACTATGCTCTAAACCAGAGGTCTTCAAGTATGGGCTGCGGAGGCACTGCAGGGGTTCCGCGAAATGTTTGGTTGATTAGACAATTTTTAATTTTTAGTTCTTTATATATATATATATTTTTTTCCAAACATGAATCTGTCCATTATTTTAATAGTTCAGTATTGTATGCAAGATAACAGGTATCTTTATGCATGGCAGTGGCACTAATAGGCCATCACTCATTTTATGTTTAAAATGAAAACATCAATTTGAATAACTTGTATGCATGATTATCATGCAATTAACAGACAATGTTGATTGGCATTGGTATCAGTTGACAAGGTATGTTTATAAATGGCAGTGGCTCGGCCACCCTACTCACTGTGCCTTGCAGGTTTAAAATAAAAACATGAATATATGAACCTGTGTATTATTTGAATAGCTTAGTATTGAATGCACAATAACAAGGTATACAGTATACATGGCACTAGGCCCAGTTTAATATAAAACACAATTTTATACAATATGTATAGTCGGGGGTCCCTGCTCCATCTCTCTGTCAGTTTGGGGGTCCTTGGCCTAAAAAACATTGAAGACCCCTGCTCTAAACTGTAGTTTTTGTGACAAACAGCATCCGATTCGCATGACTTTTACACGATGTGGTTTACACTTGATATAGAGCGTGTTCTGTAACGTGTTCTGTAGCGCCACATAGCGGATACAGGAAGCGGTGGACTATTTGCAAAGCATAATTCCCAGTGTCAGGTGGTCCACGCAGGAAAAAGACGTCGGACTCGCAGGCGCCTTGTCCCGTCGGCAACCCCGGCATGCGGGAGGATGCTAGGGCCTGTTCATCGCTGCTCGCAGCTTTAATTATGTATATTTTGCAAGCCCTATTGAAAGAAATCACACTAAAAGAGACAATTGATTGAAAAATAACCCAGATAATATGCGAGTTAAATGCTGTGTCTTATTGTATACATGTAGTTTATGTGAAGCACTTTGTAGCATGATTTACTCATCCCTCCTCTTTTGTGTCTTTTGTTTGGGGAAGTAACTTCTTTAAATGTGCATGTAGCACCTATTTATCTCAGTGACACATGAATTCATGTTAATTCCTTTATAAACACCAGGGTTCTCATTTATAAAACAGTGTGTAGGATCTGCTGGGTCTGATAACATCCCTGGCCCTGTACTAAGAACATGTACCAACCAGCTAACTGATGTCATCACTGACATTTTCATCATATCACTGTCACAGGAGAGAGTTCGGCTTCAAGACAGCAACCATCATCCCTACACCTAAAAAGTCTGCCGTCTAAATGACGTCCTGTGGCACTCGGCCCCATTCTGATGAAGTGCTTTGAGAATCTGGTTCTCCAGCTCATCAAAAACAACATCCCGGTATTCCTGGACCCTCATCAGTTTGCATACAGAGCCAACAGATCCACAGAGGATGCTCAGCCCTCACTCATCTTAAAGATAACAACACCTAAACCAAAGTGTTGTGTGCTGAGTTCAGCTCAAAGAAGAGCTCTGTTGTGAACTTTGCAGACGACAATACTGTCATGGACCGGATTAGAAACAAAGGTGAGATTTCATATAGAGAGAAAATTAACTATCTGTGAGGCTCCTTAATTCTTCCTCCATCCTCGATATATTGTTCTTTGTGTCTTGTTATGTAACAAAATGGGACTGCAATCTGCTTTCTGTTGTGCAACCCTGTTGTACATGACAATAAAATAACCGTGTAATTTAGTAATTTTGCAGATTAAAACTGATTAAGACTGCACAATACTTAATATTAATAGCTGATTAACTGACTATGACGTATATGACACGAAAGGTTACTCACATTCCCGAAGGCCAGCAGGACGGAGTCAAAGTACAGCATCACACCAAAGAGCAGGAAAAATAAACCGAATCCCATCAGACCAACACCAATCTCTGGAAGACAAACATACACAGGGTATATAAAAACTTAAATGGAGATGCCTGTATAATATTAACAATGATTTGCAGGTATTAATCTGGGGATAGATGTGTTAATAGACAGGGTATGAAATCAGCCCTGAATGGGCAATAAGTTTCTTTTAGCCGTTCAGCTTTAAGCATGTTACCTAATACAAAATAGTCATCCTGTTCTCTCCAGGATGTAGGAGGACTGTAGAGAGGTGTCCTAACCTGTAGCCCAGTACAAGATGTTACATACACAGTCCAATGTAGAGGAATGTAGAACTGTGATGTAATGGATAAGGCTGACATTTTTCTTATTGCCAACAAATGTCATCAAAAGATGAAAACCAACAACATGTTAATCCGTCTCTGAATAGTTTTTGACTTACCTAACCTCTGCTTCGGCTTACATCTTTAAAAATGGCTCTTAGATACAGTTTGAATACAGATACAAATTAAGACTGAGGATGAATGCATTTTAAACAACTAGAACACATCCACAAATCTGTGATCCACGTCGCTCATAACTGGACTTTAAACAGTATTTACTTTGTCTGGAGGCTACAGCAAAACAAAGTAGTAAATAACAACAATAAACAATTTACAAATATTGGTAATTTGTAAATACCAATCAATTTTTTTATTTATTTCACTGATGTTATATTATGTATCAAAAGAGTCATATATAACATTTAAACCATTATTATATTATATTATATTTAGTGCTGGGCAACGATTCAAATATTTAATCGCGATTAATCGCATGGATTTTTTGCGATTAATCGCGATTAATTGCATTGTTATGGCAAAGTTCAATAATGAATTCAAAAGTAGTGTAATGCGCACTTTTATTTTAAAAGTACTGCTATATGAACAAAAGGGCAATAACATTTGGTTCACGAGATGCAGGTAGCATGTTTTATACTTAATGTCAATATAATTCATACTTTGTTGGCATCTTATTCTGAAAACCGGATGTTCATCTGAAGAAACCGGATGTTGTCTCACGTTAATCTTTCCGCTAACTTTCAAAGTCCTTCGCTCGCTCCCGATCTGTGCCGTTTAATGCGTTTACCGTGAATTTCAGCATATAGGTGCACTAAAATGTAAGTGTCTGCTGAGTTGACCACGGAGATCTGAATGTCTGCTGACTTTACCGCAGCGATGTCCAGTAGTCTCCAGGGAGAGCAACAGTTCTTGTCATCCTCTTGTTGTTATGTATATGTATTGTCTCTTGTCTTTCAATTAAAAAAAAAGAAAAAAAAGAAAAAATAATTGTCGGCGTTAATGAATGAATGCGTTAACGCGAAATTAACGCGTTAACTTGCCCAGCACTAATTATATTGTAATATCAGATATAGAGGAGTAGTGTATACCTGAAGTCTCTCTCCTTCTGTATATGTTGTTAGCAGAGCTTCTCTTTGTTCACATAGTCGGCCATCAGTGTGTGCTTTAAGTCCCTGTTAGTGCACATGAGTGCATATTTGATGGCCTTGCTTCTCTGGCATTTGGCTTTTGTGCCCTCAACATCAAAGACCAAGTGACCTAGTCCCTGAAATGATGAAATTCCATTTTCAGCAGTGGATTAATCCACATCTGGTGCTCTAGTTATAGTGTATTTGAGGCAGCAGGACAGTGTACATGGGATTGTGTCAAAATAAACTGTTTGTGTTCAGTTTAACTCACTGATGTGTTTTTCATAGTTTTTGGCACATAGGAATAATATATATCAGGCTTTGGATAATTCTAAAAAGCATATTTATATAATATAACATAATAAGAATATTACCAGTCCTATCTAGGGAAGGGAAAGGATGGCGTTTCTCAGACTGTGTTCAGCAGTGATGATGATGTTCTCTGAGGAGTCCTGTGGGGGGCATTGCCCCGTTGTTTTCGTGTTTTCCCTGGTCACCTATTTGGTTTGTGATATATATGGTCAGGATCTCACAGGGAAGCTTGTAAATGACCAGTCAATCTACATTCCCTCACCTATGGTCACCAGCTAATTGATCCAATGAATGAGATGGCGGATAATAGCAGCCAAAATGAGTTTCCTGGGCTGAACCTTAGAGATGGTGAGGAACAGTAAGGGGTGTATATATATATATATATATATATATATATACATTTATGCATATACTAAGATATATACAGTGTGTCTGTATATCAGATATTAGTCACATAAACAGTAAAATAAATATGAATACATAATAGATCAGATATATGCAGAATAGATGGTAAACAAATATGAATACACTGTAGATCAGATATATGCAGAATAAATATGAACATACTATTGATCAGATATTAGTCACATAGACAGTATAATAAATGTGAATACACTATAGACCAGATATATTCAGAAGAGACAGTAAATAAATATGAACACACAATAGAATATATATGAATACACCATAAATATGACATGCCTTCCAGTCTTCTACCTCAATATTGTGATCCACCGCTTGAAACTCAACACTGTGCAGACTGCATTGCACAGCTGCTTACATAGACAATGAAGGGGAAACGTGGAAATGAGGGATCTTGTGGACACGTACCAGTCAGCACTGAAGTGCGTTACACTAACTTTTAGCTTCCCACACAAAACTCCTCAGTCACACTTTTTGCTATGATTTTTTGATGCATTTGGCAAAAAGCAGGACCATCTTTAGACCATTGCAGAAGCTTTAAACATACCAGTACTACTTATTCATTGCACACAGTTCCTCGTAGTGATTCTGTGAGGCTGATAGACAAGGGTCTGAAATGATTAAACTGGAAGTGAATTTACCTGTTATCCACTCTTTAAAAGTTATACTCTCTTATTATCCTAAAGTATTTTACCTTGAGATGCAATGCTGCCACACGTACACCTCTGGGCTATGACTCACTCAGAGGATTACAGCGTCACCCCAACACTTTAGAAGAAGGCAACTGTAGAAACACTTACTCTGGAACTCTGTGATGGCCATCATGGTAATCCCTTATGTCTTCCTCTACTCACTGGCTTAGTTTCTTCTCTGTGACTGTCTGGAACAAATGGCTCCTTTCCTTTTCTTACGGTGACCTTTGTGCGTTGACGTTGTCAGTGTGTGAGGTGAACATTAACCAGAGCAGGCGCACACTGAGCCCCCAATGATCGCTGGGGATTCTACTATTGAGTGATGTCATCAGCCACTCTAAGACTTTTAATAGTTTTACCCCTTATCTGTTGTTTGGCTCCTGGATATCTCAGACAATCTGGTTTGCATAGTTTAGTCCATGCTATCCATACTTTGCAAATGTTAATGTTCATACCCAGTCTACCAGTGTCTTAATCAGCATCTTTTTAAGGCAGACGGACTTTGTTTGAACAATTTAAAAGTAAAATAGTTTACCTCTAATCCAATACACTTCCTACGTCACCCATCTGTTCCGTCTGCCAAAGACAAGAGACAAGAGGAATCAAGACAGGAGTATGACACAACACAACTCACTGAAACTTCGGTAGATCATAGTAACAGTGCAGCTGTTCTTATCCAGTCAACCCCTCACAAATTTAGAAAGTTAGACAAGCAGTCCAAACCTCCATATCAGGTGCATAGGAACTGTACCTGTGTCCACCTAAAATCATTTAAAATACCATAACACAATTTTATCCGATCAACCATAAAAATCTGGAGGTGTTTTTAACAACTTTGGTCTTTTTTTTGGAACCATTATTGGTAATAATGACTCCAAATTGATTGCTGAGATCTAGGAACATCACTACAAATAAGTCAGAGTGGTCATGAAACAAGAGCATGCAGTCAATGCTGTATTTCATGATATGTTTTATACTTCTTGGTTTTATTTCTGTATTTCTTTCTTTGTGTCTTCAATACATAACTGACTTATCTAAGCCTTGATGTGAAAGAATCCAGTCTGTTTATTTTTGCACTTTATTCATTCAGACATACAGTTTGATATATCAAAGACTGTAGAATATCATCAGGGTTAGACAGTTATGTCAGTAGTCTTTTTGGCAGTGAACGTCATCATCAACATATAATTAGAGCAGTGAATAGATCATTATTCCAGGCATGTTCTATCATACAAAATACTGTGATGAATTCAGAAGCATCTAAAGAAACACATTATGTGTATACATTCACTTTATTGCAAGGTTTTCTGAAAGCAAGCATTTCTATATGTCCATTTTTCATTATTTGCATAGTTCAAGCTGTTTGTTTATTTCGTCCCATGGTTACATGTAATAGCAGGATATACTGTAACTGAGTTTAAAAATATTATATACATTGACCAATTTATATAATGTATATATTCTTTATTTTTATCTTCCACAAATGTTACATCTACTATCAAATATTGGACACCACTGTTTGGCTGTAATTTCTGAACACATCAGTTTCCAATTATTTCAAAAATATCATCAAACAATCCTCAAGAGCAAATAAAAACAGGTTTTTTTGTGAAAAATAAAAAATGTAATTGAGTGTAAAATTTTAACGTGTCAACTTGTCATTATGTATCTAAAAAAATCTGAACTGCCTCTCTTGAATGTAGACTCTTTCTAAAAAGATATTTAAAACAAGAAAAAATAGAAGTATTCTCGAAAATCCGTTAACTGCTTTTCAGCGTAAATTCTGTGCCGTATTGTCTGACTGACTATGGACATACAATACAAAGGCAGGTCACTCCAACACTGTGTATGGGCAAAAATGTAGATAGCATACACATCACAAAAAGGAGGTGTGTGTGTGTGTGTGTGTAATATGATTAATCAATGCAGAATTTGATGACCAAAAATACAACATGAATAAAATGTACCATACATAAAAGAAATGAATGCAATGAATAGTGTTAGCATTAAAATAAGAATGAATACATAACAAATAATGAGTTGTGTTTTTTGCATTTGTTTATTTTATGCATTTTTGTGTATTCAAAATTAATGAAACCAATGCATTATTTACTTTAATAATAATAATACATTTATTTCATTAATTATGGTTGGCCATTTTTAAGTCTTAAGCCACTATGTGTAGACATTTCTAAACTTCAATCATTGCTTTTCCCTCCAGATTTAAACTCCTTTGGAAGTCATCTCGTGATTAGGTCCATTCTTCACAACATATAAAAAACTGACATCTCAGACTTATGGCACTGCATGACTAGATGAAATGTTGGGATATGTTACAGGACTTACAAATGACTGCATCATTAGCTTACTCCTCTTCACACAGACAACTGCATAGTAGCTCTGCTAAGGTCACTTTCCACATACACTGAACGATATCTATCCAACATCCTTTACCTATATATATATATATATATATATATATATATGTGCAGACAATCATTGGGTGAGCTGCACACTGTATGTGAGGTAATGATGAGGTGAACATGCCCCTTCAAGATGCAGGACGAATTACACTCCTATGCATCTGCTGTAGACGAGAGACGTTTTTTAGTTGACAAATGTCAGGTTCATTTAGAGCAGTGTACAGTGATGGTGTGGAGGTCAGGGTGCCTTCAACACAAGACTCATCCTGTTTCCTACTTGTAGTCTGAGCTAGCGTTGTCCTTGTTTAACTACCTGAGGACCGCCATCGCTGTCTAAAGAAAAAGTATTTGTCGAAACCTAACCTTACTTTAACCATAGTGTAGTTGCCATGAGCAATGAAGGAATACTGAATTGACAAGGTTTCTTGACTCATATTCACTTCATCTTTGAGCAATTTCTGTCCCGTCTTTAGTCTATGTTGTTGCCTCATATAGATGCTTCGTTACATCGGGCAGAGGATTCTTTCACTGCCTGCTGTTTCTTTGAATCAGCTATTGTAAAAGTTGATATACACTTGGTATACCTTAGTTCAAAATTCCACTGCTGGTGGTATGCTTGAACCACAACAATGGAGGGAAGCTTGTCACTTCCTGCCTCACAGCTTCAGACTGAACAGAACCATACAGACAGCGAGTCCAGCCACAGAAAATGTGTCTGTCTTAGTTACTAAAATACTCCACCATGCAGATCAAATGTCCATAATGCAACTGACCTAAGTGTAGGATCTCATCTCCACAGAGAGTTCTGTCATTACCACACAGAGCAGGCTCATTATTTCCAATGAAGAGCAGACGGGCGAGTCCTAGCTGTGCCTTGATTTTCCTCCAGGTTTTGTGGTAAAAGTTCAAATCGATGTACTTTTGAGTGACCAATGGCACTGCAGCATTGACAGCAGCCAAAGGCTTTGAAATGCCTCTTCCAATGTAGAAAAGAGTAACGCCTGAAATATACTTTCTGCGTAAGGTCCTTTTGACATACATTTCCTCAACTGTGCATGTCTGCCACGATCTGCAGACTGCTGTCCAAAATGTGAGACCATGCACACTATATGTGCCGTCAAGCATGCCGACTGGACTACATCCATTCCAACATAGTAAAAGTAAAAAAAACCTCCAGCATGACAGCAGAGAGGGTGAGGATACCAGGTTAGAAAATGAGTATTGTGTTTCATGAATGCCATACTCTGAATTGTAAGTGTGGAAGAGGTGTCGCCATACTCAGCTTTGTAAAATAGATCATGGTTTGTGTAATGCATTTCATCTTCGACTCGGCCTCACAACAAACTCTGTGCTCCAGTGTGTTTGGTGTGAAAGATGGGTGATGCATTGATGCAAAGCGTAATCCAGGTGACATTATGTTTGTATGTAATGCTATCGGTTTCATATGAGTGATATTGATAGCAGACAAGGTTTATAGGAAGGGGGTAGTGTAAGGGGTGCAGGTGGTGGTGAAAAAGTCATCACAGTGAGCTCAGGAGAGTCCTCAGCTTTGTACAGAGGATCTTGTTCCTCTTCGGCGTGGCCTCTCAATGTCTAAAATAACTCATCATCATAAACATAGTTCAGCTTTGTAGAAGATGTCCTGAGCAAAATTATATGGAAATATTCCCATCTTGAAGCTTGTAAGAGAGCCTTCCTTTGTGCCATGCATCACACACAGCAGGAGACCGTCGTGATTACTGGAGTTTTGGGGGATGAGCTAACAAGTCTTTATAGTTTCCTTTTTGCTCCTGCCTCCTTGGAACTTCCTTTGACAGCTTTCAGTGCTTTTGTTGAAGTTCAGTTTAGGTGCTGAAAAGAATAAATCTTTTGTCCCTGGCCATCTTCATTGTTCAGTTAAGTCAGTGATTCCTTAGAAAGCTGCTCCATCAAAACTGACAGCAGCCAGAGCTTGAGCTACAGACAAAAAAAAAGCAAAGAAAGACGGAGTAAGAACAGTGACATGTGTCATTGGGTACTTACAAATGTTTACTTTCAAGGGAGATAAATGGAATTTTAACTCTGTAAACCGTCTAAAGAAAAGTGTATTTGTAATCCCTGCAAACACGACACATACTAAGATACAGCAGATGGTTAGTACTTGAGAGTCACAATATAGGTAAACTTGTTATCTGAAGCTTTCAACTTCATCTCTTGGCCTTCCTTAATTGTCATGTTAAATGGACTTTTGTTGTGCCTTTCTAGGCTTCACACACCGATGCCTAAGGCCATGTCCACACTACTACGTTTACACTGACCGTCCACACTAGGCCGGAATTTTAGAGCAGTGATTTTCAACCACTGTATCGTCAGGTGTGCCATGGGAAAATGTCCAATTTCACTTAAATGGTCAAAAGAACTAGTTGCTGCAAATTGCCATTGTTGAGCATCTGAGCCTGCAATACAGTGACTGGCTAAGTAATTAAATACTCTTCCTTGCCAGTAGCTCAATAATGACCTTGTTAATTTAAGACAGTAGAATTAAATGATGCGTGGGAGAGGTTGCGGTGACAAGACAAACAGCAATGGAGAAATATTTGAAAAGGAAAAATGCAGACTCTGAACTGGGTCCTGGACAACAAAACTAAAAACAGAGAGAGACTGAGAGCTGTTGAGGAAGAGCTTCATGTGTGTGCTTTTCTTCAGCTTCTGCCAGGATATCAGCTTTGTGTTCATCGAAACAGGCCCAGGTTTCACACTGAGTAAGGATCAACAAATTGAGAGACTTGGCATTAAATTGTCAGCATATATGCTGTATTATGCTACAATGTGTCATTTTGTAACTTTTTTGGTTGTTGGTGTGCCGCGGGATCTTTTTAATGTAAAAAATGTACCGCGGCTCAGAAAAGGTTGAAAAACACTGTTTTAGAGCACCAAAAACGGATAAGCTTTCAAACGCTGGGGTTACTTCGTAGTGTGGACGGTCCTCAACACATAAGTTTGGAAATGATGACGTAGACACCCACGTTCAGTACTTGATTGGTTCTTAGCAGTCACAACGTGTCCTTACCTGATTCGTCACTCCCCTATCATGTGGCCCTTTTCCGGAGGATCACAAACAACAACAGCCTTGACTATCAATCGACTACTAGTTGTTAATTCAACATGGATAACTGATTACAGGCGTTGCTGATCTTGTTGTCCATACTAGCAGCTGTTGTGCATTTTATAATTCTACTACTAATGACATTCGGTGGAAGCAAGCTGTTATTGGGGCGATTAGCAAATGGTAATTGTTCTCCAGTGCAACAGGGACTACGAATGTGACAACAGACAACAACGGAACCGAGAGGAAATGAGTGTGAGACGTGTGTTGGCCAAATTTATTGACCCAAAAATAAATTACTTTGATTTGTAAGTGTTCATTTTAAGGTAAATTTGCTGTATATAAGAGAGAGAGAGAGAGAGAGAGAGAGAGAGAGAGAGAGAGAGAGAGA